ATACACTTTGAGGCAAGAAATCGAGAACATCATATGAACATCGAAATTAAGGAGACACTAAAGGAAGTAACAACAATCAAATACCTGGGATTAAACATCGACAAACAACTAACCTGGAAGCAACACATACACAAGCTCAATGAGACATTGTCAACATACATATATTTAATGCGCAAATTAACTCCAACTCTACCTCTTAAACAAAGATTACTAGTTTATGATGCATATATAAAAAGCCAAATGACATATCTGATACCTTTTTGGGCGACTGCAAAAGGAACATCTAAAAAATCCCTACAGCGAAATCAAAATAAAATTCTTAAGATTATGTACAAAATGGATAAATACACCCCTACAGAACAACTATATAAGAATACCCAGCAACTAACAATTGAAGAATTGAGACAGCTAGAAACGTGCAAACTAGTCTACAAGTCTACTAGTCTACCAGTGAATATAAAAAACCTATCTTAAATATTGTTTAAAACCAGAATAAAAACTTTAATTCTAAGCCAAGACACTACCTAAATTATTTTAAAAAACTTTATGTATTTAAATATCTATTTATTTCATTTATATTATATTATTATTATTTACATATAGAACAAAATATTTATTGTCAACACTTCATATTGTTATGTTATCCGTTATTATCATCACTCTGATATTTAGGATTTATTTTTTCAATAAAAAAAAATACATTTTTCAGTACGGCCGGCTGACGTATACATATACGTTATATATATATATATATATATATATATATATAACGTTTAATCGTATATATTGGCCTACTGCCTTATAGATGCAACACCTTCAGAAACTTGCGTTTTATCACAGACGATCTCCGCAATTTTAGGTCAACTTCGTCTTCGTCTTCGTCGTTAGTCTGCCTCGTGCTTGCATTTTTTACTGGCGTTACTCTTACTCGAAATGTCGGCGACAGAGCATGCCGGCCCCAACGCGTGGCCAAAAGCGTAAACAACAAGTTTTCAGTTATTGTGGCTTGGACGATCGTGACATTAGACAAATTTTGTTGTGGATGAGGATGATTTGTACCTTAGTGGGGAAGAGCCATTTCAGGACAGCGGCAGCGAGTACCATCCTGATTCAGAAAGTGAAAGGATTTGGAAGCTATTTTGCAGCGAAGCGAACAGGAATTAATTTGGACCAAAAACGAATTTGACCAAAGTGAAAGTGGTTTGTAGAGTGATAGCCTGACTCAAAAGAAGTGAATTTTTTTCTGAGCCTGTTCTCGGAAGAAATAGTAAATATAATTGTGATAAAAACTAACAGGTATGCTGCCCAACAGAAGGATAAGAAGTGGAAAGATGTTAATCTTTCAGAAATGTATGTTTTTCTTGCAATAACTATGTTGATGTCACGCGTCAAGAAATTAGAAATGAAGGAGTACTGGTCTCAGGATAATTTATTGCATACGGCGATTTTTCTTTAAAGGATGTCAAGAGACAGATATTTTCTAATTCGACGTTATATGAACTTTTGTAATAACGAGAAAGTGCAAGTAAATGATCGTCTGCATAAAATTGACCAGATAATGCAAAAATTAAAAATAATCTTTCAGAACCACTTTTATCCTTTCCAGAACTTAGTTATAGATGTATATATATATATATATATATATATATATATATATATATATATATATAGAGTGTGGTCTTGTTCAAAGGAAGGTTGTGTTTTAAACTAAAAGACATTGCTTTGGAATCAAATTATACGTTCTATGTGATTGCGAAACAGGCATCATTTTAGATTTCATAATATATACAGGTAAAGCAACAAATACACAAGCCCAAGAAAATCAGAATCTGGGTGTTACGAAAGCCATTATTGCTGAACTATTAAGCCCTCTTTTAAATAAAGGGCATTCGTTGTTTACTGATAACTTTTATACCAGTCCATATCTGTCAAATTACCTGTTCCAAAACAACACCAACTCTTGCGGCGCAGTACGTCAAAACCGAAAACAAATGCCATTGTTTGAAAAGAAGCTAAAAGCTGGTGAAGTCAACTGGACAAGCAGCGAAACTATGTTGGCCCTGAAATGGAAAGACCGCCGCGATGTCGTTATGCTAACAACAATGTATGAAAATAAAATTGTAACACTTTATAAGATAAGCAGAATTACAAAGGAAAACATAAAGAAACCTTTATGCATTGTAGAGTATCACAGGCATATGGGTGCCGTCGACAGGTCAGACATGATGATTAGTAGCATTGATTGCACTCCTAAATCAATGAAATGGTATGTCAAGCTATTCTTTTATTCGCTGGATGTTACCTTACTAAATGCCCACGTAATGTTTTTGAACATGTAGAAAAGGTTCAAATTGCAAAGTTTACTTAGAAGTTTTTCGGCAGTTTTTGGAAAGGTATTTTAAAGCATTAAGTTTGGCAATCAACGTTTCTAATAAAAACATATTTTTCGAATATTCAGCAATTGAGGCAAAGCCAGTTTATTTTGATCAAAGGAATGCAAGAATGACAGAACGACATTTTTCGGAATTGGTTCCAAGGAAAGAGGGAAAGAAAAGGGCTGCTAGGAGATGCAGAGTTTGCTCCCAGACAAAGGCAGAACCAAAGAAAAGAAAGGAAAGCAGCTACATGTGTAGGGAATGTGACGTTGGGCTGTGTGCAGTGCCCTGTTTTAAGATTAATCACCAAGTAGCCGTCTTTTTACTTCTATTTTCTTTTAGTTTGGTCTTGAGTTTTTTTTATTATATATTTAGCATTTCAATCTTTGGTTTTTCTTATGTAATACAGTTTTTTTACTGTATGGTTTCCTTTGTTACTGTTTTTTTTTTTAACTTTTATTATGGTGACACATACACGTCATCAGGCGCAGAGACAATCCAAAATGCGCCGCGGCGGTAGGGACAGTACAATCAAAAAAGACCCCGTACCAAAAGGGTAAAAAATATAAAAAAATGTAATTTTAAAAATATGTGTGAAAATGGTTTTTTTATACGCCAAAATCTTTGTAAATGTTTTTTAATTTTGAAAATCCAATAATTTTTGACCTTCTTAGGAACGTGAACTTATCTGTAGTAGCGAAAATATATCAACACTTTTGCGGGACAGATGGCGTTACGCAGGACTTGACTCCGGGACGGGACGGTTGGCAATCCTTAGCACAGTAAAGCAGGGAAAGAATAATTTATAAAACTAGGATAATAAATAGTGTCCTTAATTTTTAAAAATAATATAACTAAGAATTTACCATATGCAAGGAATGCGGTCGATGTTGCCAATGGTAAAAAAATAAAATTCCCTATTGGGAACATTCAATTATATTACGTTGGCTACACTGAAATTTTGAATTTCCCGCACAAACTGACATACATCCTAGTAGTTCCCAGAGATAAAGAAGGTAGTTCCAATGTTGTATAATAAATTAAGGTGCGAATTTCAAATGTGGGAATTAATATTATTTATTATTATTAAAAAAAAAGATGGAAATTAATTTAGTTTTTGCGGGAAATTCAAATTTTCAATGTAGCCAACGTAATATAATTGAATGTTCCCAATGGGGAATTTTATTTTTTTACCATTGGCAACATCGACCGCATTCCTTGCATATGGTCAATTGAGTCACTTTTAAAAAGGGATAGGTTTTAAAAAATATTCAAAATATAAATTTAACTAAGTAGTCACTTTTAAAAAGGGATAAGTTTTAAAAAATATTAATTATGTAAATTTTATAACTAACCAAATTGGTACATGACAACATGTCCAAGATAAAAATAAAAAATACCGTTTTACTATCATTAAAAACAGCTTTACAAACCTGTAGGTTATAAATAAGCGTAGCTTTTTACATATAACACAAATTTGTATTTATGAGATGGGTATTTGATTTATGTAATATATGTAATAAATCATAATACGAAAGGACAATCTACTGTTAAATATCTAAAAACAATAATAAAATAATAAGTTTTGCTTTATCAATTTGTGTTTCTAATATATTTTATTATAATGTTCTAATAACTGGTTTTGTCAGGGTTTGTTAAATATTATATAAATTTAGATAACATAGATATTCTGCGAAAACACTATGCTATCCGATCATCATGATGTCCTGCTATGTTGTCAGATAGCATTCAAATTGTTATTTTAGGCGTTTTTTTAATTTTCAAATTAGAAAAAAAAACTTATTAAAATCCTGTTTGCCTAGCAGCATGATATAAATAATTTATATTATGCCTCCAGTAGAATGTCCCTTTAATTTGTATTATTTAAAAAAAAATACTACGCTCACTTATGACCATGTGCACTTAGCAAACTTACCGAATAACTTGCAAAGCAGGATAACCACAAATTCCTTTCGACGAACTCTGATATCTTAATATTGTTAATGCCTGAAACAAATTCTCAGGTGACAGGGTTTCATAAATTAGAAACCTAGCAGATTTCTAGTTTATAAAACCACTTCCCATAGAAAAACACTGAACAGATCCTTAAGTTAAGCCCCTTTTATACGTCCCAAGAAACAACTTTGTTTTCCGTAAGAAATAATATTTCGCAATTCTCCGACGAGAAACAGGATAGTTTCTTGGAGTATGTAAAATAGGTTTACTGTTATAATTTGTTTATTCAAATAATGTTAAATATTTGTTCAAAAGAAATATTTAAAATTGGTTTCATTTCTATTTAACTGTAATAATAATAATCTTTCCTTAAGTTTTTATATATTTTTAATTAAAAAAAAATATATAGTATTTTGTTTTTGTTTGGTGCTAAAATAATCAAATTTTAACGGTATGTGCTTTGAACTGTTCCAGTCGAGGAAGTATCCAGGCACAGATTCCACTCCTTGCAACGGTAAGAAATGGTCTGTGCCTGTCGTCCGTCTTAATTATACAAAACCTGACAATTTGTTCCAGCCACGACGAAAATAATTCAAAATTCCAACACGAATTTAAACGGAAATTTTCTGGAGTTGAACCAAAAATACCCTACGACCTCAAAATAAATACCTTTTTGGCCCAAGCCTGATATCCAGACGACAATTCGGCCTGCGATAAAATTTGAGCTCCCGTTGAACCGGTGAATTGACCAGGTTGTTGCTTACTTTGAGCCCAAGTTTGCATCTAAAGAGAATAAAGCGGTAAAGGTGTAGGTAATTATGAGAATATTTTCTATATCGAGGGCTAAAAAGCAGTACCTCGTATGTTACAATGTTTTCGAAAACTAGTTATAGTTGCCAATCGACGACAAATTTCAAGATTTATCTTTTGACGATCTAATCAACTAATTTGCAACATACAAGGGACTGCCTTTTAGTTCTAGATATATTATTAAACATTAAGCTGGTAACCAGTGAGCCGAAAGCGTTTAGACTAAAAATAATTTGCGGGGCTAATTGATTGAAGTTTACTGTCAACTTCAAATAAATAAGGGCATATTATTGTTGATTTTTTCGACCTTTACTTGATGAAACTCAATATTATTAATATATGAATAAAAACAACACTGTTTAAATGTTTTACTATTTAATATAAAATTGGCTTACTAAAAAGTGTGATATCTCACTTATTTAATTTTATAATTAATTAAAATAAACTTTAAATCAGTCCACTTTAAAATATCAAATTGAACAATTAAAAACCAAAATTTACCAATCAAAAGCCGAATTTGACATTTTAAAGTGGACTTTTATTAAAGTCCACTTTAAAATTACTTACTACATTAATTTTTTAAAGAATGAAAATTAGTAAAATTTCTGAAGGAATTAGTGGTTAAAATATTTTTTTACAATAAAGGAAAACGTACGTTTTTTAGTATTACGCATGTACTATGCTCCCACCAAAATCGCGGACTTTGAAATATGAATGCGGAACAGAGTCTCATGTAACAAGTAGTCGGCGAAGGAAATTATAAATAAAAATATATTTTAAAGTTTAATGTTGTTTCCATGTAATAAATTCAAAACTTTATACGCTAAAATGCATACAGCGTACTTTAAAAAAATAAGACGATATTAACATTAAACAGACACATATCCTCAATTGTGGACCCAATCAGATAATTTGTTTTAAGAAGTTTTAATAAGCGGAAAACTAATATTTTTTGTTTTGCAACATTTATATAGTGTTATATTAAAAAAATCAAAATGGATTTATCTAGTGTTGGTTGAATTGACAGGATTAATCTCCATTTGCATAAAGAGGAATAACAAAACCGTTTTATCCATTGACCTACATAGGGTCCAGGATTAATCTAAAAAATGTTAATGCTATTTAATTTCATTTAAAATAACAATAATGTAAATATATATTTTCATTGAAACAAGAATTTAAATTGTATTAATTTGGATTTATCTGCTTTTGCTTGATTTGCTAGGTTTCGAGACCAGTATTCTATATCAATTACTTGATTTGGCATGGTTCTAAGTTCACCAATGAATTAATCTGACCTTTATCTGCTTTTGTCTGATTGCTCCACAATTATGAAGTTGCATTTCTCATTAAAATGACAAAGCCTTTAGGGTGTGAAGCATACGCCCACTTTAAAATTTGGGCTTATGACAAGGAGTTAATGAATATATAAATATATATTTATTAATTTTAAGACCTCATACGTAGATATACTGCTTTTAAGGTGCTCAAAAGCAGCCCATCTACGTATGAGCTCTTACTATTAAAGCCCGCTGCACAACAGCCCGGTAACGGGAACGGGAACGGAAAACTAAACGGTAAAGGTGTGAGAGACTCAGCGAACCCTATCTATCAACAGTGGTTTTTTAGTCTCTCCCACCTTTATTGTTAGGATTCCCGTTCCCGTTACCGGGCTATTGTGCAGCGGGCTTAAGAGTAAATTTATCATTGCAACTTTCCATTTTTACATTAGTCCGATAAATGACATAAATAAATAAACTTTTTTTAGATCAGTTAATTTTCAACAAAAATATGAACTACTCATTTCAAAATTCTAACTATTCTGAAAGTTATAAAATTATAATATTGTATTGGGCTTAGCTTTATATTTATTTATGTTTTTTATCCTATAGGATACCTAGCTCTTAATATAACAAGACTTAGATTTATTTTGTTGTTTTTTACATTTTTGTTAAAGTTTATCAATTTTTACGTGTATAATTTTGAATAATGCATTCAGAAGAATAAAGTTTGAGTTTCCTACTATTGTATGGGTCTTTCAAATTAAAAATATTCTACAAATATTAACTTTGAGACAGTTAAAATACAGGGTGTTCCGAAATTAGTGCACCATACTTTAATAGCAGATTCCACGTGCAAAAATAAGAAAAAAAGTCCCTATAAATATAGGTCGAGAAATGCCTCCTAAGGGAGCTACAGCCCCCGAAAAGGGAGCCCCTGAATATGGTTTTTATCTAATATTTATAAAAAAGCAGAAACACCCTGTCACTTACTACATGAAACTGTCACCTGTCTTGAATTATTCTATTTTTTCCTAAACATGGCAGTCGTATTCCAAGGACCACGCGAGTCCATTTCTGTGGTTGTGATTTAATTGTGAATTTTTATGCCATGTAAAATAATTTTCAAATCGATTTTAAGCGAAATACACCGTTTTAACGAAGTTCAACAAGATGACCTTTTTTATGTGCAAAACTCCAAAATTTCATAATCTGACATCAAATTCTGGTACAAGATACGTACAAAAAAGTTAAGGTGGTTTTAACCCCACTTCCTATCAATCTGACCCAAACCTCATGAAATTTTTTAAATTGTTATTGTTACGTCTTATTGGTCATAAAAAGTTTAATTAATTCCCTAAATTTCACTTTTATATCTTTAACGGTTTTGGAGATATTAAATAAAAACCATCTTCAGGGGCTTTTCTTTTGGGGGCTGTAGCTCCCTTAAGAGGCATTTCTTGACCTATGTTTATAGGGACTTTTTTTCTTATTTTTGCATGTAGAATCTGCTTTTAAAGTATGGTGCACTAATTTCAGGACACCCTGTATTATCAATATACGATACTACACATGAATTACGAAGAATTTATCGCTATTTCCCAAGATCTACATAGAACATTTTTATTTTACTTTTTCTTGGATACTTAGTTGGTAAGTATTTTTTTTTAAATAGTTCAAAGTTGTTCTATTTTTTTCGTTAAAAACGGTGTTCGGTGAACCGTGTGGTATAAATGTTTAATGTAATTATTTAAATGACAAATAAATGTTTTAAATGTCTTTTATCAAAGAGTCGGGGATACCGGAATACTTTTTTAAAGGTTAAAGTATAAGTTAAACTTAAGTTGCGATTATTTTGGAATTTTTTTTAAATTTTGCCCTAAGATATCTTTTGAATGGTTAGGTTTGCAAAAAACATCATGTCTATCAAAATGTTTATTAGGCTTAGCAGATATTCATTTGTTAGTAAAAAAATTCCTGCAAAATTTTAGATCAATCGGTCAAAGGGAACACGTGCCCCCTAGGGGTTTTTTGAGAAATAACTGAGAAAACTTGGATGGCTGATATAACTTCGAAACGGACTTTCTTAGGAAAAAAAGTGTTTATAAAGTTTGTGAGTTTATTTATTTATGATAAACAACTTTCTTAAACAGTTCTTCGTTAAAAAAAAATTGTTGGGCTTAAAAAGCGATAAAATGCTTTTTTGGGCACTTAAGCGCCACCTACCATTTGAATTTTTTGTCCCAGAGCATCGACCCAATGCCATAAATTGTAGGGGACAATGCGCCCCAAATTTTTTGTTGACAACATTTTCTTCTTAAACTTTTTCTAAATCTTATCGTTTTTGAGAAAAATGAAATTAAAAAAAACAAAAATTAATATGATAACGCAAAGTTGGGTTTTCTTATGAGCCCCAAACGATTCAAGCAAAAAAATGCTGGCAAAATGTATAGTTAGGGAGCTGGTTAGAGGTGGGTTGCTATCGCGTAAGCTGCTATTTTTTAACAGTTATTTTGCTGAAGCAGCTATCACTGTTACCCGGTTTTAAAAAAAGCTGCTACCAACAACATAACCTAACTCCGCCGTTTGTGATCGCATTTAACGTATTGTCTGCGCACAGTGATCGATATCGCTGTTTCGAATTCCGCTATATCAAAAAGCTGCTAACTCGGCCTTGGACAGCGCCACTGCTGTGTGATGTCGGGATTTTAGTAAAATCATTTTACTAACGGAGGTAAAGTTACAGCATTGGAGACTAATTAATAATATTTTATACACTTTAAATAAAAATGAGTTTTAATTTGCAGCCGAGTAAAAAAAATTTTAATTTTTAAACTCGAATTTTTAATACTAAAATTTATTCATATCTAAGCTATTTTTAATTTTTTAAACCTAATCCTAGCATAGAAAATCATTATTAACAACATTATAATTTCCAATCATTGCAAAAGATCGCGATTATTTGCTAGTAAAGATCTCTGTGAACTCTCCCTAGACGTTTGTAAGCCAAGCAGAAGCGATTCGCTACTATAGCGCTATAGCAAACCCAAATAGCCGTTTTAAAATGAAACATGCGCAAGAAACACGCGTGCCGCTGTCAGCGGCTGTGGTCCATTCCCACGAGCACCGTTTCGGATAAACTGCTTCTTTTAAGCAGCTATTTGATAGCTGCTACTTAAAAAAAGCGGTAACTGTTTTAACTGCTACTTAGAAATAGCGGTTTAGCCCACCACTAGAGCTGGTGGCAGAAATTTTTAAGTCATTTGCTCGCGTGGCAGAAGTTGAAAATAATGAAGTTTGGATTATAAAAGTCACTAATGACAACTTCTGCCATACCATTATTGCTGCATTATTAATTATTAGGTAATTAAAAAAAAATGTCCTTAAGTCATTTGCTCGCGTCTGGCATTTTTTTTAACTTTAAGTTCCTAACAAGACTTTCAGATAAATATCATCGTCAGACGTGTATGTCTCTGCATTAATGAGTATTTAATTTTTTTTTTAATTATGATATACAAAAATTTAAATGATTTGCTCGTCAATAAAATTTATACAAAATGTTAATTGGGTCATAAAAAAGCAAAAAATAAAAGTCTGCCATTTAATGTTTACTGCGATAATGAACGAAGAATTTTCAAAATTGTAAAAAAAAAATTAATATTAACTTATTTGCTCGTGTCTGCCTCTTGGTTA